TTTAAGATTATTAGTAAGATTAATTTTATTTTTTAAATTCTTTAAATGTATCGTTCTTCTAATCTTTGTTATTAATTGGATCCTTAAGTTTTTATAAACTAAAGATCTAAATTATGCTAAACTATTAGTAATCATTATTAGGACCAAACATGTTTACTCTGTTTATATTATAAATTTAATATTGTATTGTAAGTCTATAAATATTAGTTTATAACCGTTGTTTCTAATATCTCAATATTATCCAAATATTTTAATAGTACCAAAAAACACATATTATGCAAAAAGTTATAAGAAAATGATTAAAATTATAATTGCAATATTTTTAATAAATAGTCAAATTCTCTTCTCTTGCTTTAAGTCCTATAAAAAGCAACTTCCTTTGGAATTAAACAAAGGTTTTAAATCCTTCCCTTAATGATTAATGAACTGTCCTTATAGGATAAGTGTTCCTGATGCTTCTAAAATAGGATTCTAGCATATTCTAAGTATTGTAAGATCAGGATTAACTAAATAATAATTAATAATAAATACCATTTGTTAATAAGTACCTATATTGAAGAGGTATGCTAAACTAGGCAAGCAAATTTTTATAGCTACCATCTGATTTGAGTATTTCCTTTGATGTTTTTACATTCCAAAGACGAATAGAGTTATCTATACTACCAGAAACTAATGTATTTCCATCAGGTGAGAAATTGATTGAACTTACTGTTGATGAATGGCCATCTAATTTGGCTATTTATTATCCTGTCTTAACATTCCATAAACGGATAGAGTTATCATCACTACCAGATACTAATGTATTTCCATCAGGTGAGAAATTGATTGAACTTACTGTTGATGAATGACCATCTAATTTGGTTTTTTACTATCCTGTCTTAACATCCCATAAACTGATAGACTTATCCCAACTACCAGATGCTAATGTAGTACCATCAGGAGAGTAACAAATTGAATAAACTGCACTTGAATGACCATCTAATTTGGCTTTTTATTATCCTGATTTAACATCCCATAAACGGATAGACTTATCCCAACTACCAGATGCTAATGTAGTACCATCAGGAGAGTAACAAATTGAATAAACTGCACTTGAATGACCATCTAATTTGGCTTTTTACTCTCCTGTTTTAACATCCCATAAACAGATAGAGTTATCATGACAGCCAGATGCTAATGTCATACAATCACGAGAGAAGCAGACTGAATATACTGTATTAGTATGACCATCTAATTTGGCTATTTATTACTATGTCTTAGCATCCCATAAAAAGATTTCTTAATAACTACCTGATGTTAATGTAACACCATCAGGAGAGAAACAAACTGACATGACTTCTCTTGTATGACCATCTAATTTGGCTTTTTACTATTCTGTCTTCACATCCCATAAGCGGATAGATGTATCATCACTACCAGACGCTAATGTAGCACTATCAGGAGAGAAACAAACTGATTGAACAGCCCTAGTATGACAATCTAATTTTGCTTTTTGTTATCCAGTTTTAACCTCCCATAAGCAAATTGACTTATCATCACCACTAGATGCTAATATAAAACCATCAGGAGAGAAACAGACTGATCGAACATAATCACGATGACCATATAATTTTGCTAATTTTAATCCAGTTTTAACATCCCATAAACAGATTAACCTATCATGACTACCTGATGCTAATATAATACCATCAGGAGAAAAGCATACTGAATTAACCCAATCACTATGACCATTTAATTGATATATTTTCTTTCCTGTTCTTAGGTTCCATAAATACACTAGTGAAGCACTAGTGGTAGCTAAAATACTATCCTTAGGTGAGAAGCAGATTTAGTATACGATACCATCACCTTATAATACATATTTTAGTTTTCCTTTTTTAACATTCCACAAACGAATGGAATTATCTTCACTACCTGATGCCATTGAATTACCATCAGAAGAGAAACAAACTGAATTGACACCGCGATCATGACCATTTAACTATATTGCTTCATTTATTTTTATATTCTTCCATTTACAATTAAATAATTTGGCTCCATTTATATTAATTCCATAATAATTACATTGTTAAATTCAGATCCACTTAAGTCACACTTAACAAAATGACCGCTTATTAAAGAAGTGTTTCTAATTTTAATATTTTTAAAAGATTGTGTTTTCAAGTCAACTTTCATTTAAACTAATAAATGTAGAGAATTTGATCCACACTAAATGTAGTTTTCATCATATGCAGTAAGAAGTACTAAAAATTTTATAAATTCTATGATCTTCTTATCACTGGATATTTTTATGATCAGATCTTTTTTAACTTCTTTATATTCCTCTAAAGAGTAATTTTCTCTATTAAAATCATGATCTTTAATGTTGTTGAGAACATCTGTTATTCTCTTCATGTCATTCATTCCAACATTTAACATCTAACCCATATCAAATAGTTTTATATTTTCTTCCTCCTATATTTCTTTCTCAACTTGCCTTTGATTTTGATCTTATAAGAGTGCTTATAGTATGAATTAAATGTTCTCACTTTTTGGTATCGAATTGAGTTCATGGAAGATTGATTAATCAATATCTTTGGATTAAGACAAAAGCACATATATGTCTTCATTCTAATCAATTTAACACCTCATATTCCTGATTTTATAATTAATATTCAATTGTTATTCCTTGATTTTGAGAATTATACTATAAACAAAAAAAGTATCTTGCAAATTTTTGTTAGAAAGAAAAGGAAAAATTGTAAAGATGTAGAGTTTTTTGATTTTAAAATGGTGAAAACTAGCATAAATTTGTGCATAGCTTTGATTCTTATGAATATAGAATAAAAATACAAAAATAATTATTAACAACAACCCATCCCATTTAGCGCCGTTAAGCAGGATTTCTCAGTAAAAACATCAACAGCATAGTTTTTTTCTATTAATGATTCAACTTCCTGATAAATCAATTCAATTTTTACTTCCTGAGTATAAAGTATATTTTAGGCTAATTTTTATAAAATATATCAATGCGTGTTAAATAGTAATAAACTGAAGCTTAAAGAAAAATAGCAAGGCCAATATATCAGACCCTTTGGAAAGATAAATTCTCAAGATTTTTGGCAAATTAATCCTTAAATTTCTTTTATAATGCGATTTCAACATCTATAAATAATTTGCACTTTTTTAAATTACATTTTTTATAATAATCATTCAAAGAAAATACAAACCAATATCATAGAGTGCGACCAGGAAACTTTACTTTGGTCGATCGAAAATAG